CTCATTAGCTTACCATGGGAGTAGCATGTCCATGGTCGCAAGAAACGAAATCCCGACTGCAACCTTCAGAGTAGAAACCGTCTTTTCGGAAGGAGCAATATGAATTCCTAAGCACACTAGGAATTTATTCCATTAGACCACGTGTAGATTATGACGCTTACGATACGGATTTGGAGTTTTCACCGATAGGTTGTGTGTGAACAACCGTAGCAGCCCCCGAACTGCTAACTCCCGCGCAAGACTCTTCATAGTCGCAGTACCCCTTCCTTTCATTGAAAACCAAAGAATTTGGACATTCCTAGAGTGTTGAGAATGCCATTATGGGTGGTTCTGAGGATGACCTACCATCGCTAAAGCCTTTCCGCCACTGCAAAATACAAAGCTAGATTTGCATCCTAGCCCATAGTACCCATCTTCCTTGAAAGAACAGTCGATAGCAGACGCATGACTCGACTCGGAGCAATCCCGGACAGTTTCAATCGGCACGCACTTGTGCTCTACACTGCTGAAGACTTGGAAGTCAGGGCATTCTGCCAGCTGTGACATAGCGTTGGCGCACGTAATGTACTGAAAAATTTTTACATCCTTCTCCATACTCGTACGACACCTACTCACCTGCTGGGAACAGCTGCTCACTGGATGTGGCCCGTCAGGTTTACCATGACATCTGGTTGTAGGTTGGGAACGTCGATGGTGATGGCCTCGTCCTCTGATCCCTAAAATTACATCACTAAGCTCCAAAAAGTTTAGGGCTCTTAAAACTCACTTGCAGTGTAGATGCTTCGGTTTTGTCCCGATGGATTTGGTAGAAACGTGGCAACCACAAGCGGAGGACGCGTCACCGGCTCTCTTCGCATTTCTGGATTTCCACCGCATGCTCGCACTCGAAATTTGTGATCACACTGAATGCAGTCGTATTTTTTGTGCACAGTTTTGATCACCCTGAGGTAAATATCAGTTCTTCTGAGGTAATCACATGTGTAGGATATGACGGAAAATAACTGCATTCACGCCAATAAATTTGCAGAGCTTAACTTGATTATTTTAGAAGCTCATACTAAGTAGAAAAGCTTTTCACTATGAAAAGAATACTTGCTTTTTATTTGGTTTTTTCTGCTTCTATCTTCTAACGTCGCTGCTTAGATTACTGTTGAGAGGTCCAAAAAACGGTTCATGCGCCGTCATGAAAGACTTCTTTAGCAGAAAATGAGTTTTCGTGCAGAGGCCAAATACGGATCCGAAAATCAATAATGTAAGGTCATAAATCAACTCGAAATCGTACCGTGTTGCGTTCGCTGTCGTAGAAGAGTCCGTCTTGGCAAGTGCCGACAGATTTGCTCACGATTTGCCCATTCACGCACGAGAAGAAAGTGGATGAACATCCGATTGTATAAAACCCGTCTGTTTTGTTCGTACATGACATTTTCATTCGATCTGAAAACTCTAGCATATGCTGTGCACATTAATACTGAAAACACTTACTATCGCATCCTTTTACATTGCCATCGTAGTCGCACATATTACTGTCTGGGTTAAAGACCAGACCGTTCCCACAGGACTTCCGGGCGACTATTCCATTATAGCAGTGGTTGTAGTTGGAAGAGCATGGTCCAGCTGCGTAAAGTCCATTAACACGGCTGTCACAAATCCGTTCATCTTGACCTGAAGGAAGCAA